AGAAGCCCGAGGCCGCCACCCACAAACGAGGGAAGACGAGAACAAAGCCGCACAGGAAGACCAGGGGGCAGATGGCCCTTCCTTCAAAATAATGAGGAGACAGTAATCTCCCCTCTTTTTGCTAATCTGTTGACCCCAATACCAATTCTGCTCTTAATCACCGGGAGACAGCGCCGCAGCTGTGTGCGCTCGGCTCCATCCCGAGACGGCTCCCCTTTCTCCTGGCTCGCACAACTGTCTCAGCTCACAGGGGAAAACAGCTACCGGCCTCGAGGGGATCCCAGCAGAAACAACGCCCACTGTCGGAACGGGTACAGCCTCGTCTGTGCTCGGTGCTGGCGCTGGCCACACGGGTCTGCGGAAAAGCAGTGAACTCTCTGGCATTCACCACAGCGATCCCAACTAACCTGCGCCATCGGTGAACTCCTACCCACCCCGCAGCACCCAGCTCACAGCGCCCTTCCCTTGCTTCCTCTTCCAGTTCCCCAATTCTCCCAGGATTCCTCCCGCATGTACCAGGAGCCCGTGTGCCACACCCAGCGGCCTCAGCTCTACAGAACAGAAGGGGAAAACACACACTTCCTGCCTGGACCAGCTCGCTATCAGAGGTCACAGGACTGCACACGGACGAGCGCTCCACGGAGGCGCCTGCGCGGCCACAGGCGGACAGCAGAGGTGTGAACCCCCAGCTCGCGGGGCTCCTGGAGCCACTCCATCTCCCCCAGCAGGCTGACGACCTGGGACGACAGAAACCCTGCCTGGCCTGGCTGGAGCGCTCTGCTGCCGGCAAGTGCAGATGAGACTCAGTGAGTGAGGACTTAGAAAGAAACGGCACTGCCAGAGCTACCGGGCTGGGGTTCCGGTTTCCAAACACAAGACACTCGCGACCTGCGCAAGTCTCTGCGGACAGCAGCAGGCCGGGCCGCCCGTACCTTCGGGACAAGACGGGCGCTCCCCAGGTGTGCAGGGGACACATCCGCCCGAACAACCCGCACACGGACTTTGCTCCCGTTTCTTTCCTGTGCCAGGATAAACGTCTCTCTTAAGTCCATCTCTCCATGATCTTTCCAAAGCACAAGACCTCCCAGCCCGGGCGGTCACAGAGGGAGACGCTAACGGGCGTCCTGTTCTCAGACCCGGGCTCCCCAGCGAGACCCAGGCCAGCGTCCGGCGGCTGTTGAAGACAGTTCCTGGCTGGCCCTCCAGGCAGCTCCTCCATGCACCCCCAGTGCGGCTGCCTGGTCCCCGGGAGTGCGGCTTTCGTGGTAAAGAAACAAGGGCACCCTGTCCAGGAATATTCAATGTTAGCAACGCAAGGCTGGGCGGGGAATCGGTTCAAGATGCCTCCAGTGAGTTCTGAGTTCCGCAGCTTCCCGACACACTCAGGGCCCGCCGCGCTCAGCCAGCCAAGTCTAAAAATAAGAATGTGTGAAGCCGTGTAAGTCAGTGGATTCCGCTTCCTTGCTGCTGCCTGCTTTCTGGGCCGAGAGCTTGCTTTTTTTATTGGTTGCGTCTCTCACCCTCCGCTAACCGAGCGCTACGCATCGAGGAAATCCAAAATTAAGGCACAAAGCCACTCATAACGTGCGCTGGCACAAAGCGGCTGCAAATTACTCATTTGAAAAGCTCACCTCGGTCAGAGCTATCAATGAATCACTTTATTGCTGTAATCAATCCTCCCAGACAGCAAGAGAGCACCCTGAGGACTCGCGTGAGGGGCTGCGGGCTGGGGGCTGGGGGCTGGCTCCGGGGAGGGAGAGCAGGCCGGCCTCTCCCGCGTCCACGGGCACGCGGGGCGCCAGCACCTGGACGGGACAGCCTACATGTCATCAATCACTGGTAATCTGATCTTCGCTTGTATTAAGTTATCCTTGTGTCAACAGCCTCTGCCCTCGTGCTGTGTGCCTGTGTGCCAGGAAACACCGCCCTGGCCCTGAGGGGTCTTTCTGCCCCGCCGAGAGCCGTGCGCAGGCCCTGCATCTGTCCCACCCCACCCCTCGACCCCACCGACTGGCCCACACCAGGAAGACGAACAGGGCGAGAGCGAACGCAGAGGAGCCCTGTCATCCTGGCATCCCAAAGGCCCGAAGGACATGGCCTGACCACACATGTGGTCCCACCTATGTGGGAGCGGTGGACTTCCAGACAAGACCGGCCCCGCCCCCAGCTAAGCACTTCCTAGGGAACCAGGAGCGTGTTCAGCACCTACTTGAGGCTTTGCAGGTACTTGGTCCTCCAGCCAACACAAAATGTTGCCAGCTGCTGCTGGAGAGAGAGGGAGGTTCTCACAGAGGAACCCCCCACCCCCGCCCTGCCCGGTGTCCCCTGCCAGCTCCCCAGGTTTCAGGATGTAAAGAAAGCCAGCGATGTGCCCATGATGTGGGCCAGGTGAGGGGGCTGCGGTCTCCACCTGTGCAGCCCAGGGAGGCCTGAGCATGGATCTTCCACACATAAACGTCTGGCAAAACCGGACCTGCGCTGGTACCTGCTGAGCCTGGGTGTCGCGGACCTCGCCGGCGAACACTGGCTCAGCCGGACCTCCCGGTGCCTTCGCTAACACCCTCCACCCTGCCTTCCAGAAACCCACCGCTCACGGACATTCACAGGGAGGTGCAGCTTGGGCCCCGCTGTCCTCAGTGTCACCCTAAAGTGGAGACATCACCTAAATGCGAACCCCACTTAAAGAGCCCCGAACCTCTGAGTAATTTATGTCGTGGGAAATACATAAAAGCTGGGAACTCTAATAAAAATCAAGAAGGCTAATAAAACACAAGAGGCCCTGAAAGCCGAGGGGGCTTGGTCCGTTTATCCGGAGCAGATACTGGCCTTGCCCAAGTCTCGCAAACAATGGTAATTCACACATTTTAGCCAAATGCAAAAAAAAAAAAAAAAAAATCATCCAGATGAAAAGTACAACTTTAAAAAGAGGGAAAAAACCAGGCACTTAGATCTTCAGAACAAAGCACGGCCCCGAGTTCTCACCTGTGTATTTAACGAGTTCATTAAAATCGGGTTTTCGATGCAACCCACAACCTTAGCAGTGTCATTACATCTCATGCCAAAGTAATTCCACCCCAGAAGGACCGGCCACCAGGCCACCAGGGACAAGCCATCGCCATCGCAGGCTTACTGTAATTATTACTACTGCTGCCCTACAGGGAAACATCCCAACAGGCTTCACACCTCGACTGTTCTCAATCTACCAGCCCATTTGACAGAGGGGAAATACTCAGACCTCAAAGGCTTTTGGCTTGTATCAATAGGCACCGTGCGGTTCTAAGCCGTGTCTGTGCACCCCCACCCCCACCCCGCCCCGAGGGAGACTGTCTGGAACCCAGGCAGCTAATTACCATGTGTTCTGAAGTCCACAAGAACAAAGCGGCAGGCCTGCTATTAGAGGGAGGGCCGAGCCTTTCAGAGGTGAGACTTCGGAACCCAACCAAGGCCGTGCGTGGCAGGGGAGCACCAACCAGAACCCCCACCCTTTCCTAACATGTAAGAGGACCAGGCAGGGGTGGGCTAGCAGCTGCTGTCAGACAGGAAGTGCCCCCAGGCAGGTTCAAATCAGGCAGGGATGGCAGGCCACACTCCCCCCAGGGAGACAGCACCTGCCACACTCCGGCATCCTCTGGCCCCTGAGGGTCACCAGAAGCTAAGGAAACAGGGCCCTTCCGCCTTCAGGGTACCCGAGCGACCGCGGGGACCCCTCTGTGCCGACTCCCTAGGGCGGGCAGCTAACCTGCGACGGCCACTTCTCCAGGAGGGACCAAGCTGACAGCTGCTACTGTAAAGCCCACGCTCCACTGGTGGGCACCCAGCCCACAGGCCGAGGTCCAGGCAGGATTCCCGCATCCTATCTCAGAGTGCCTGGGTTCCATGTCCCGCTCTGGCTCCCGACTCCAGCTTCCTGCCAGTCCCCGGGAGGCGGAGGTGAAGGCTGGGGTTGCTGGGCCCCTGCCACTCACGTGGGAAACCTGGCCTGAGTTCCAGGCTTTGGCCTGGCTTGTCTGGCCCAGGCCCAGGGGTTGTGGGTATTTGGGGAGTGGCCCAGTGGATACAAGCGTGAATAATTTTTTTAAAAAGCCAAGCTGCAGCCTGCCAGCTACCTTTTCTCTGCCAGCAGTGGGCTCTGGTCATTAGGATGAGGGATATGATTAATGATAAGGGGATGTCAAGGCATATGCCCAGCCCACGTGAGCAGGGTGCAACCATCCAGCCACACCCCTTCCGAGTACCACAGACGGGATCTGTGTTTTGCAGTCTCTGGAGGCTTCTGGCCCCCAAATGCTAGCAGATTAACTGACTCCTGCAAGAGGCACTCCCCAGAAGTCCCATCAGAGACCGGAGATGCTTGCCAGAGCGCCCTACTGGGAAACAGGACCCTGCCCAGGAGGATGGGGAGGGCGAAGCCCTCTCCCCATCAAGACACCTGCTGGCAGCAAGAAGGACCCCCACCCTCCACTCCTGCCCTACCCATGCCGGGAACTCTCAGCAGGTGAGAACCGCCCAATCAGCTGAGCCCACGGCACAACACTCACAGATGGTAGCACTGACAGGGAGCCCAGACTGCAGGCTCGGGGTGGGGGTGGGGGGGGCACAGGATAAACCAAGACCAATGCTGATTTCTCCTGCCAGGCAGCTGCACCTGCGCCCCAGGCTGCGCAAGCCAAGCACGGCTCCCTGGAGGCCACAGGTACCAGACGCGCTGCAGGTAGCCAGCTCCCTGCCTGCTTAGGGAGAAGGCTGAGCTGGACAAGGGGATCCCTGTCCAGGTCAGACCCCCAAAGACCACACACACACACACACACACACAGCCGCGGCGGCACTCATTAACTTCCAGAATGCTGCAAGACTGCTAGGGAAAACCCGCAGTGTGTCAGTCTACGTGGGGCTCCTGCCCCGGCAAGGCAGGGCCCACGGCTGCTCCGCGCCGGAGCGGGACCGGGTCCGTTCCCGCCACTCCCGCCCCCCCCGCGCGCGCCCAGGGCCCAGCTGCCCACCTCTGCGCGGGGACCCGCCGATGCTCTCGGCGCTGGACGAGTGCACGTCGGCGGGGGCCCGCCGCAGGCTGCTGAAATAACCCCGCTGGCGCGCGGCGCCGTCCCTGCGCGCGAAGATGCCGCTGAAGAAGCGCAGCAGCCGGCGCTCCGAGGCCGCGCCGGGGCCGGCGGCGGCGGCGGCCCGCGCGCGCTCCAGCCGCTGCAGGTCGCTGTTGTCCAGCGTGCGGTTCTTGCTCTTGCTGCGCTCCCAGCGCTCCGCGTCCGAGCGCGCGTCGCCCTTGTTGAGCACCTCGCCCACGTCCAGGGTGTTGCGCTTCTCCGACGCCGGCTGCGCGGCGGCCCCGTCGCCCGCATCCCAGGTCAGGCTCCCGGAGCTGCCGTGGCGCCTCCCGACGCCCAGGGGCGGGCTCTCCTCCGGGCCGCTCCAGTGCCTGAAACTGAGGCTCCGCCGCAGGGGCGCGGCCCGGGCCCCCTCCAGGTCGGGGCTGCTGGGACCCTCCTCCGCAGCCGGAGGGCCGCCGCCGGCCAGGTCCACCGGGTCCGGGCCGCGAGCGCACGGCCGGAGCCGCCCCAGCTCCAGCTGCCCGGTGCTGCGGGTCCGGAAAGTGCGCAAGTCCCAGGCGCGCGGCTCGCGGTCCTCGGAGTCCTCAGCGCCCGCCGCCTCCTCGGCCTCCTCCACGAGCCGCCCAGGCGCGTCCGGGGAGCGCGGGGGCCGGGGCCGCCGAGCAGGGCGCGGGTCGGGGCCGGACGCGGCCAGCTGCTCCTTCCTGACCATGGTCACGGAGATGCGGTAGACCGTCTTCCTGGGGGGCGTCCCGCGAGGCATCGCGTCCGCGGGCGGCGACGCGGGCTCGCCGCTGCTGTCCAGCAGGTACATGGTGCCCCGGCCGCGGCCGTCGCGCCGCCCGCCGGGGCCCTGCGGCAGCCAGAGCGCTCGCGGGCAGCGATGGGCGGTCGGTAGGAGGGTCCCCGGGAGAGGTGCTGGGGGCCGGCGGGAGGGCCAGGAGCGGGGCCCACGCCCCCCCGCGCAGAGGCGGCCGCGCTCAGGCTGCGGGTACGGCGCCCCTGGCGCCCGCCGGCCCGTGCGCAGCGCGACCCGAGTGCGGGGGTCCGGGCCCGGGGCGCTGAGCCATGGGCCGGCGGGGCGCGGTGGCGGGCGGGCGGGCGGGCGGGCGGTCAGGCGCGGCTACGGCCTCGCCGGCAGGTGCGGCCGAGACGCGCAGGGCCTGGGGCGGGCGGCGGCGCCCGCGGCTTCATTGTCTATGGCGCGGGGCCCGCTCGCATCTCCGGGGCATCTCCGGGCCTTTTCTGCTCCGTTCGGCGACTCGGCAGCCTCCGCCACTCCCGGGGCCCGGGCCGCGCGGGCAGCTGCGCCGGCCGCGGTCGAGGGGCGGGCGGGCGGCGGTTTAAAATGGAAATGCGCGCCGGGGCGGGGCGGGGCGGGGGCCGACGTGCGGGGCCGCGGGCCGCGCGCGCCCAGCGCAGCCGGCAGAGCTCGGGAGCGCGGCGGCGGCGGCGGCGGCGAGCGCGGCGTGCCCAAGCGCCGGGCTGGATCGCGAGTGCGCGGACCGGAGCTTCGCGGCGCCGGCCCTGGCCCTGTCCTAAGGGGACGCGCGACCCAGGGCTGGGCACAGGACAAAGGAGGGGCCGCTCTCCTGCTGTGGGCTCAGGGCGGCGCTCTCAGCACGCAGCTCTGCAGACCAGACCACGCTAGGACTTGTTGGAGCACAAAGGTTCTCTTTCGTACCGGCTCCCGGGAAGACAAGAACCAGGGAGGAGGAGGAGACCCAGTGTGTGGGGAGGGGCAGGAGGAAGGGCCTGCCTGTCCAGGCCAGGTGGGGCCACCTAGGATGTCCACCTGTAAAGTGGGGAGGCAGACAAGAGCTGCTGAACTCTGACCACCGCAGGGAGGGCTGTGTGGTTTGTAACACTCTGCGCTGGGCATCGATCTATATCATCCGTCTCAGACAGAGACGGATCCTCCATTTGCCGCAACAACCAGGAGCCGGGAACTCCATCCAGGTCTTCCACGCGGGTGGCAGGGGCCCAAGCAGTTGGGCCATCTTCTGTTGCTGTCCCAGGCCATAGCAGAGAGCTGGGTGGAAGTGGAGCAGGCGGGACGGGAACTGACACGCCGTCATGGGACGCTGGCATCGCAAGCAGCGGCTGAGCGTGCTGTGCCCCCCGCCCCTAGCCCCAGCCCCTGCCCCAGCCCACGAGACACTGGGCCCAGGGAACATCGGATGCAGGGAGGACGCCTGTCACACGTGCCTGGTCAACACGGCGTTCCCCATGCTGTCCTGACATGCACGTGCGTTTCAGACGAGAAGCATGACAAATACAAAGTCTGCCCACCAAACCAGATGCTTCTCCAGGCCCGGGACTGCTGAAGCAGTGCCTCGGCACGGGCTAGTGATGTGCAGGCAAAAACCAGGTGCCGGTGACCCGACTCTACTGTGTTAGCAAACACTCGGGGGCTCCACTCTGTTCCTGACGCTGAAAGCAACAGAAAGATGAGCAGGTAGGCTCTCTGCTGAAGGAAGTTAGAGTCTAGCAAATCTGGAACGTTACCCAGGTGAAATTACATGTTCAGACAATGAAATAAACCAGAAAGACTGCTGGGTGGTTTGCTTGTTTTTTTTTAATTGAGATGGGGCGATTTATTTATTTTTATTTTTTTACTTATTATTTTTTATTTATTTATTTACTTTTTTAAGATTTATTTATTTATTTGAAAGGCAGAGTTAGAGAGAGGCAGGGGCAGAGAGAGAGAGATCTTCTACCCGCTGGTTCACTCCCCAAGTGGCAGCAGTGGCCAGAGCTGAGGGGATCCGAAGCCAGGAGCTTCCTCAGGGTGTCCCACGTGGGTGCAGGGGCCCAAGCACTTGGGCCATCCTGTGCTACTATCCCAGGCCGTCAGCAGGGAGCTGGATCAGAAGTGGAGTGGCCAGGACTCGAACCTGCGCCCATACGCGGGATGCCGGCACTGCAGGCAGAGGCGTGCCCTGCTACGCCACAGCACAGGCCCTGGGAACATTTCTAGGGGCCACCCTGTCAGGAGATGCTCAGTCTCAGAGGGTGGCCCCTCCCCGGGGCGTGCGGTTCACACTGTCCAGGCCCACACCTGCCTTCCGATGCTGTGTCTCTTGCCGTGGGAAGCACCCTGCTTTCTGGATGTTACAGCGAGCAGACGGGTGAGCCCTCCTGAAGTGACACCCGTCAGTGGGCCACGCCACCTGGACACGGCGCCCCGAGCCGGCGCTCACTCATTTCCTCATTCTCCCACTGGTTCGTTTATTTGTTCAATATACACTCAGGCTGCACAGCGACAAGGCGGGGTGCCAGTCCTCCAAGGCTGGGTGCTGTTACCGTAACGACTGAAAGGGGGCGAGCCACCCCAAAGAGGGCCACGGTGCCCGGCGTTCCGTCTCACCCAAGAGTACCACGAGGACCTGGCAGGAGTCGAACATGTCACAGCCGCAGCTGCACAGCGCTCAAAGGTCGTCTGGACACGCAAGGTGAGAAGCGGACACTCGGCAGTGTGGCCAGACAGCTCTGCAGGAGGCAGAGGTGGCACCGGAACCCACCATCCCACTGTGTGCAAGAAGCCACGCAGCTTTAACACTGCGCTGCACTTCAGGACGGGGGCGCCTGGTCCACAGCCGTGCGTCTGAGACACAGGCAGCGTGGAGGCAGCGGGGAGGGGCGGCCCTGCAGAGCTCTGCACGGCACCCTCCCGGTCTCCCGGCCACCCCACCTTTGTCTAGAATCCAGCCCACGTTTTACACCGCGCCCTGCCTGGATGCAGGCTGCTGGAGTAGAAGAATCCATTTGATCCACAGATGACAGGGAGTCTTCCAGGGAATCTCTCAGCCCGGCTGGCCAGCCTGTGGTCACTGTTCCGGCTGCCCTGCCCCAGGAGGAAGCCTGACTTTGCACACCCATCATAATGACCCCACATCGGGCCTGACCATCTCAGAGCATGGCCGCCTGCCAGCGCGGCTCCCCGGCGCCCCGGATGTGGGCTCGCCCGATGTCAAGGAGACTGGCAAGCTCCTGTCACTCCCGACCTAAATCCCCTCCACAAAGCCAGACCTGCCCTGCTCCCAAACAGCAGAACCCTGACGCTGCTCCGTGTCCACGTGGCCACGGCACTTCCATCGGCTGAGGCTTTTTAAACAAATCCCACGGCGACCATCGTTTCTTGAGTATTCCCATACCATAGAATCTATCACCATTTTGGCTTAAAAAAAAAAAAATAGAGCGGAATCGGTGTCTGTATCCAAACCCCCAGCAGCCAGGCAGTGCCCAAGTCCGGGGAGGAGAGGACTCCTGCTGCCTAAGACGCAGGCCGGCAGGGCCGAGGGCCCACCAGCCCCGCCCGCCCCTCCCAGGGCAGCCCTAGCCACCTGCAGATCAGCCTTCCCCAGGAGGTCACTCTCGCCAACAGCACCAGCGCCCAGAGCCTCTTGAAGGAAACCTCTGGCTATGGTCGGCAGCAGCGCCATCTGCTACGCCACTGGCTTCCCACACGGCACAGCCTGACAGCCAAGAACCACGCTCACACGTCTTAGCAGACCGCAGGAGGCTGGCAATGCTGCCCTGGCCTCTGCACACCCACCCTGGCAGCCAAGAAAAAAAAAACCCCGAGGGGTCATTCGAAGCCCCTTCCTGGCAGCCACCTGCCTCAAAGCTGCGTGGGAGCAGCAGAGCCGCACGTTTCGCTGCCTTGCTTGGCGTGGACTCCCAAATGCGAAGCATCGTGAGGCTCCGCTTCCAGGGGCAGATGCCATGCCCCGTCCCCTGCTTTGGATATTCCAGGGGAACGCATGAGCAGCCCCGTTCTTCCCCTTGAACCTGACCCTCGTCTGCCCCGCCCCTAGGGAGGGAGGCTCTGACCCAGCAGGAAGCAGCCCACAGGAGGTCTGTCCCAGGGCAAGGGACAAAGACAAGGACCAAAGACAAGAGCCACCACCTGGCACCGGGCGGGGGAGCTGGCGGCATCTGCTCCCCACTTTCCCTACAGGCTCCACAGCGTCTTTTCCATGGACAACCCCATGTGTGGCCACAGACCCGCGAGGACAGGTCGGGGGGCAGCTACTCGTCAGAACTGAACGTGGCCCCACCTTAAGAGGAAGAGTTCTGGGGCCCGCACTGCAGCATAGCAGATAAAGCCGCCACCTGCAGTGCTGGCATCCCACACGGGCGCCGGTTTGAGTCCCGGCTTCTACACTTCCGATCCAGCTCTCTGCTATGGTCTGGGAAAGCAGTGGAAGATGGCCCAAGTCCTTGGGCCCCTGCACCCGCGTGGGAGACCCAGAGGAAGCTCCTGGCTCCTGGCTTTGGATCGGCGCAGCTCTGGCTGTTGCGGCCATCTGGAAAGTGAAGCAGCGGATGGCAGACCTCTCCCCCAACCCTGCCTCTGCTTCTGCCTCTCTGTAATTCTGCCTTTCAAAATGAAGAAATGAATCTTTAAAAAAGAGAGTGCGAGCGAGCGAGTCCACTTCCTTTCAGAGGCGTTTGTGGACCTAGGCGGTGTGGTCAGCGGAAGGCCCTGGAGGAACGGGAGTGGTGACCCACCTCCCAGCCCACCCTGCCCTGGGGTGCCTGAGTCCAGCTCAGTAACCTGCCAACAGTGGGCTTCCCAAGGAATCCTCTGAGACACACTCAGGGACACCAGCAGGGGGCACCTCACCTGCAGACAGCTGCACCTGCCAGGTGGGGCCGGAACGTCAACCCTCGTGGCTGGGGGGCTTCAGTGTTCCGGGCAGGTGTGCAGCATCAGCCACACCCAGATCAGTCTGTGCAGGGACAGCACTCAGGGACCGACAAGTGTCAAAGCGACCAACACCCAGGAGAGGGGGTGACGTGTGGTAAGGCAGAGGCAGGTCAGAGAAGGCAGAAAGCGCTCATTTCTGGCTAAAACTCTCGGAGGAGCCTTCAGAAAGGGAGGTGGTGTTTCGCCTTAGTCTAGAGCAGGGTGCCTCATTTCGGGCTGCACAATTCTCTGTTCTGGGAAGTTCTCCTGCACATAGTCGGGGCCCGCAGCACCTGCCAGCCACAACCTCAAAAATGATCCTAGGGGGCCGGCGCTGTGGCTTATCAGGTAAAACTGTCCCCTGCGGTGCCGGCATCCCATATGGGCGCCGGTTTCTGTCCCGGTTGCTCCTCTTCCAGGCCAGCTCTCTGCTGTGGCCTGGGAGGGCAGTGGAGGATGGCCCAAGTGCTTGGGCCCTGCACCCCATGGGAGACCAGGAGGAAGCACCTGGCTCCTGGCTTTGGATCAGCGCAGCACCAGCCATAGCCCCCATTTGGGGCGTGAACCAACGGAAGGAAGACCTTTCTCTCTGTCTATCTCTCTGTCTAACTCTGCCTGTCTAATTAAAAAAAAAAAAAAAAGCCTCCATCTAAAGCAACACTGCCTGGTTTCCAGGAGGAAATATCCCAGCTGACCTTGG